CAGGGGGGGCGGGTGGTTCATAGCACAGGCTCATCAGCTTCTAGCAACCCTGGAGCAACTGGGGTTAAGGACCTTGCTCAAAGGCCCAACAGTGACATTACTCAGCCAAAGGATATGAACCGGCAACCTTACAATCACAGATACAGAGTCCAAACCCGCATGGCCACATAGCACTTGACGTTGTGCCAGATTTCAGTCAGTCTTTGTTAATGACCTGTCAGTCTAGATGTTGTCAGGATCCATGGGGCACAGGGATGGGAGGGTGGAATAGAGACTTTACTGGAACTTTTGATTTTTGCAACCAAAGTGATAAAAGAAGAACAAAAGTCATTTTGGCTTCAGTAAGGCAAAAGAACACAGGGAGACAAACAGATGGAAACTTTGGGAAAGTATGACCAATTCTGCCCATTGGTGTAACTGGCTGAGAACAGAAGATGTTTATGTCATTAGTAAAATGACTGGAGAAATAAAGACCTGTCACCTGACTTCAGTGCGGCCCATACACATCCACGCCCTAACCCTTCTTATACACCCTCTACTAAGCCTCAGGCAAACTCATATCATCACCTCGATAATTCATTCTGGCTTGATTTGCATTCACATTGAGCCGGGTAAAACATTGAAAGAGGCCTGTACGTGGCAGAAACTTGCATCCTGTATTGTAACAGCCCTTTCTGAAGTGTAGGAGGTGTCGCGCTGGTCCCGGGCAGACGAGAGACTGAGACCAGGTCACTATAATGCAGGCCTTTTCTGTTCCCTGAGCTTTGCAGTTGTAGATAAAGAGTGAGAGAAGGCTCTCAGAGTCAAGCAGCTATAAAAGAGGATCCGAAAGGTGAAGCAGCAGAAAGCATGTACAAACAAACAAGTCAGAGCTTCATATTTTAACCAAAGATCGGGTTTCACACTCAGAACTAAATGAAGCCAGGGTCTTGACCAAGTTGCAGGGTGAGGGAATGTAGCAGTTGCTACTTTCTGTACCTGCTATATAAAGACATCCTTGTCTAGCAAACAACATCTATTGCCTTATTCATGGACATTGACACTGGATGCATTGATGGCAAGTTTTCAAAATTCTTTTTTCTTGCACCAATAAAACAGATATTTACGTTAGAATGTACTGCAAACAGGGCAACATACAGTAGATGCCGTTTTATATACACCACAATGCTTGGCATTCAGGAGTAATCTGCATATCTTACAATGTTAACATGTCAATTCCCCCCCCCCCCCCCAAACAGGAATAAAACATTTGTTTAGTCTGCTTATTTTCACAAATGTTTGACTCTTCCTGTCTAAATGGAATGCCACAGTTTTCAAATTACAGCTAATTACTGGGTGCCGGGGGTAAACAATTAATATTAAGGCATTTTCGTAGACCCAAAATCACCAGATGTCCATTGCCCCTCCCAGAGGTGGAGTCAGAAAGCAGCCCACATCTCAACCAGAAGGGAAAACAGTGTCTCACCCTGAGAAGGAGTCAACAGATTGTTAAAGCCCCACCCAGGGGCAGGCACTATAGAAGGGGAGCTGCCTATGGTCGCTGTAGCCAGAAAGCTGAGGGATGCGGTACATGTGTAGCGATTAATCCAGGATTTGTGCTTCATCCTCCAATTCACGCCCACAAAAGGAGCAGGGCGTTGTGCTGGCTGAGTGGATAGTGCAGTTCCTCACACTGTTGGAATTGGGAGTTTGAATATACACAGCCTCGGCTCGTATGTTCTACCTGTGTCGTGCAGGTTTCCTCCCATGCTCAGAAGACATGCACTTAGGCTAATTTGGCATCCTTAAATTGCCTGTAGTGTATGACTGCGTGTGTATAAAGGTGCTCGTATATGTGCCCTGTGAGGAAGTGAAATCCTGCAGCAGCCTCACCTCTCATGCCGCCCCCCCCCCCCAGCCCCCCTCCCTGAAAAGCCTGACACAGGCTTGCATGGGGAGCAAGGCGACTTGAAAAGATCCAGCAGCTGCAGACTGGCACTATAAAGCATAGGAAATATCACAGTAATTATAGAACTGGCTTCACATTCTAAATCCAAACTCTGATTTTGCCAGTGGATGGAGAATTCAAGAGAAATGTTAGCATACTACATATGCAGGCCGTTTCAACTACTCAGGCTGATTTTCTGAGAACACGCCCAGGCTCTTACAACAGGGCAACATAAATAGGGAGGTATGAAGTGTCTGTCTCACCCTAGTTGCCTGTCCATTCATGCCAAACTGACCCACCACACAGCAACCTGTTGTGCGTATAGAACGCAAAACAGTAACTGGTCACTGGACTCCATCTGCCCAGTCTGTTTTCCCAGTGCCTCAGTGTGCTCAATCAGCCTGCCCTCACGCTACATACCATAGCATGTCCTTGGGCTGAAGTGGTGCTGGTTTCAATGAATAAGGGATTTCACAACAAGCTTTAACAGCAACAACCCAAAAGTCTATCATTACAGTGAAACATATGGGTCTGATCTGCTCATTGAATGTGACAGGAAAGTGTCATTTATACTTCCATTTAATACACACTTTTTTTTAATACACGCATTTTAATGATCCGAAGAGGCTGATATATAGGGTTTCTGGAAATCACTTTTACTTTTATTCTGTTTTATTTAAACCCATTTTACTATCGTGTTTTCAAACTTTGGTTCATCCAAAGTGAACATGGACGCCTTCCTGTACAGACAGTGAATACAGAGGTATGTTAAACCAACCCAGAAGGTCAGCATGCTGAAACTGGAAGGTCACCGGTTCAAATACTGTGATCAGCAGAGGGATTTTTACCATCGGGCCCTTAAGCTGGGCCCTTAACTTGTTTCTCCAGGGACAGTCTGACCCTGCATACTCTTTATCTATCTGCTAAATAAATAAATTATAAATGTATACAAAATATATTTAAAATATATGTAAAATATATATTAAATATAATTAAATGTATATACAATATTATTTAAAATATATCATTTGATTCTCTTTTAATGTACATGAGCAGGATTTATTTAAAAGGATTAAGAAACCATTTTGACAAAATACCAACATCATGACTGTCTACCACGTTTTAAGAATTGAAACTGAAAAATTCACCAGAAATTTTATGTTTTCAACTGAGCAGAGTAATTCGAGGATTTCTTCAGCAATTTCTGGGAATAAATAATAGTTTTGACAGAAAAGAGGAAAAAGTAAATATATGGATTTATAGATATAACCAGGTGGGTTTGAGGTGCCTTTACAGAGCTGATTTTTGTTGCTAATTGATCTATTTGCCAAATACATTTATTAATGTATGGTCTGTATATGAATGTATATAAATTGATATGGATTAACTTAAGGAAAATAAGCTGTTAGGCTGTGAAAGCTAGCCTTTTTCACTAGTCAAGCATAAAAAAAAGTTTCCTTGAGAACTGGCTTGAGATCAGGACTTTTCAGTCAGAGCCGTACATTCCCGAAACAAAGCCTCCTGCTTTATTATAAAGAAAGCCTCCTGCTGTATTATGGGCTGTGGCTTCTTGCAAAAAAAAGAGGGAGCAGCAAGTGTGTGGGCCAAGTTCCCAGAGATCTGGACAGGGAGCTTCAAAGTGAATTTGCTGGCGGGAAGCACACAAACCGTCTCCCAGGGCTGGTCCTCGCCTGCTGTGTGTTTGTGGAACCCAGTACCACAAGCCTCTGACTCCTAGGGGTCAACAGGGTGCTTTAGGTGAGACGTGGAGAAAAGCAGACTTCACACGAAGCCATTAGAATTAAGGCTGGCATTTGACAACTGGTGCTCTTTCACGATGGAGTATGATACAACTGGAAACACATTATTCAATGCAGAAAAGAATTGAGCAACTCAAAAATGCTCTCAAGGCCTTGGCTTCTATATGCACAGACACTGTAGATGACAACCAAGCGACTTATTAAAGTTTTTCTTTAAAATAATTGGCACAAACACATGTTTCAGGGTTAGGAATCTTCTAAGGTGTAATCCAGGTGACCCAGCATTTTCACTTGTTATATTCCAACAAGGCGAGACCATTACTGATTTATATGGCATATCTATTAAACAGTGTTGGGATGAGAAACTCTAGATTAAAAAAACAAACAAACATGGTGGACAGTTACATTGGCCTTCTGGATAGACCCACTATTAATTGCCCTTAGGGTACAAAAAAAGAAAGTGTATGGAATGTACGAGACCTTATTTGTTCAGTAGTAACAGGACCCTGCACCGACAACAGAGTTCCGCATATTTATTTGGTGCTATCCCTGGAGCACAACGGGAGAAATTACCGGTGATTGGGACTTTCCCAGTTCAATACCAAAAGGGACAAAACCAGTTATAAGCTAAGCCTTATTATGAACAGAAATTAATGCTATGTATAGTCAGGCACGAATACTAACGCACAGAGCCATCGCACCAACAGACAAAAGACCTGGCTCAGTCTTTATTTCACTGGCTATTGTCCTAATGGAGACAATGGCTATAAGGAATTCATGCCGTTAGGGTGTAATTAAGATGCAATGAACTATGGCATGGTATACATTTTCACTTCTCAAAGGCAAGTGTACAGGCAGGTTCAAGGTGAACTGACTATTTTGTGATTTTTGCGCATTCGAACGGCAAAGCAATTTGTAATATTAGGTTTTATTGTAGTATGCAAGAAAAAGACACAAAATGTTAAAATTCTCTTCGTTTAGCTTAAGACAAACATTTCACATTACAAATCTGCTAGCATGGAAAAAAAAATTAGCTGAACTGTTTGCTCTTTCTCTTTAAAACACTTGCAGAACAAAGCAAGTGACGGCGTTTCCTTCGCTATTCCGTAAACACGCCCTAAAATCAGTCGATCAAATTCGGCATCACACGTAGCCAATCGTGGGCATTCGGGGGCGGAGTTCAGACGGTGGTCCGTGTAGACGACAACCAATCGTATCATCCGTGCCGGTGACGAGATACTCAAATGAATTTTTAGGTCTCTAAAACAGCACATGGGTAGTAAGAACTGAGTGTGAAATGCATGGATAACGGAATCTAAAAAATGTAAATAACGGTTAATTCGTGTCAATGTCCTATGTCTTGTATATCCCGTGGGAAAAAAACAGTTCTCCCTATAGAAATACGGAATACTTTGATTATTTTAGTTGAGCCTTCCCTTAATTTTAATTAAACCCATTCACTCATTCAAGCCTTACTATTGTTTAGATTATAAGGTATATAGTAAGCACGATTTAAAAAAAAACGTTGCAGGTATGTGATATACCTGCAACGTTACCGTGTAAAATGTCATTGTTCAAAAGTCCAACTAAAGCCAGCTAATAAACTAGTTTAGTTAAAATAGAGTAAAAGGCTCAGTCGTAAGAACTGGCCCATAGTGTTTTTCTACATGATTTAATAAGAGATACGGCAACTAATGTTAGTAGTTATAATAATACAACTTTACGTACTAATACATCTTAAGAGAACACCCTTAATCCAATATAATATAACTGGTTGTAATTTGATGGCCTTAGTCCAAATTGAGCAGTTACAATTCAACCTAACACACCCACCGCCTCATCACGTAATAAGTCACGCATTTTTTTCGCACCGGGGCCATTCAGTCTGTGGCGGCCAGCAGCTTCGGGACTTGCCGTTTGCCCCGCCAGGCACAGCTCGTATTTATCGGTGCTCGTCGGTGTTTGCTGCTTTTCGGAAATATTACGCGTTTAAAAGCCATTTCGTTAGTTAGCGGACGACCCCCCACCACCCCACCCCCTGCCGATAAGATAAGCACCGGGAACTTTAGTTTTGGGGGTGAATCTCACAAAAGGAGCTCTGCTCTCTTCGCCGGAGAGATTTTTGTTCTCAGCTGACTGGCTAGCTAGCTAATTTCAAGCCCGGGGTGCTGTCCGATATATTAGGGAGAAGTGTTAGTTAATAAGACTGAACACTAACGGTTGCTGTAACGTCGGAGTTTGTCTTAAACGCTGCCCAACCACCGTAACGCCATCTCCGGGCATCATGACTAGGAGATCCTGCACGATTTACGCCACCGGGATAGTTTGCGCTCATCTGCTGATCATCGGCATCGCCTTGGTGCTCGGGCAAGTCTTCCAGACGCTGATACACAACCGGCTGAAAAAGGTGAGTTGGAGCTACCGACGGCATCGCCTGATCTGTCTGCGGTGTTGATGTGGAATCCTACCGACCAGAGGTTTAAAACCCATAACTGCCCGTGACTAACGTTTTTATTGATAACCGGCGGTGGTATGTAGTGGGCACATTTCGGCGTTGTCAGCCTTGATCTTACTGCCGTGATCCTCAGAAGGGCAATATCAGCAGTGGCCGGCTAAACAGTTTACTCAGTTTCTCTTCCTGTTGTTTTTCTATATCCGAAACGTCAGTGATTCCTTCCCTATAACAAGCATCAGATAAGACGAAAACCATACTTTAAAACACTGGAGTTTTTTGGTCCATATAACACTCTTATACACTATATTTGTACCTGTTCTACACACGGAGCCCTGAGAAAAGGGCTAAAGACTGCTTCTTGTCCTTGGGGCAGTTACCTTTAGCGGAATTTGTAACATTTTATGTTCGCCGTTATCTTGAGGCAGTATATCCTTCTCCGTTACATGTGAGCCCTTTACAACAAAACATATTTGCGACCGATTTACGGTCAGCCGGTATCCGAGTACACGACGGTGTCTCGGGGTTAGTAGTTTAATGCTTCGTTTTTTTAACCCCTGCAAAACTCCTCAGCTCTATCACGGATCATAACCTTGCACACAGGAACGCACAATAATGATGCAATGGAGGTTTTGACATCGAGACCAGGTTTCTGCTTTATCCCAGCCGTGTGAACGCATTACACTGCAATGCTGCGTTTGACTATGCATTATCTTAATGGGGGGATTGCTAGGGATTCCCTCCTAGAAATACCCGCATTTCAGTATTTGGGGATGCCCCGTCTGCTCTGTACCACGTTTTTCTGGCGCCGTTGTTGCCGGTGTTTAGCGGAGCCCGATCTCCGAGCAGAGAATTGAATGAACTAATTGACCAATGGGAGCGTTTGGTTGCGGTGAGCACCTCCCCCTCCCTCCACAGTATAAAAGCACCAGAGTATGAGATTCATACCTTACTATGATCTTTACACTGTTTTACACCGTCTCTTGGAGACAATGAATGTTCTTTGAACTGTGTGAACTGGTAGGGGACGCATGTCCCTCATTCGTTTACTATAACTCTAGATATTGATAACCCGTGACCTTGTAACTGTAATGGGTGAGGTTGAATTGAGGCTATTTAATGATTAAAATTCTGGTGGAGAGTTTCTAGCGCTTGCGTTTATTCCTGAAAATGGATGTTCAAGAACTTAGATCTCCTTATACCTCCATATGCCCCCTACAGGTTTAGTAACCTGGTTAATATGCGTGAATCTCATTCACTTTGAATGAAACATTAAGTTGTTTGTTCAGTGATCTTTTTTTTTAACCTGCAAGTCTATTGGGTTTTGCCTACATTGTGTAACTGAACAAATAGTGTCTATTTACAAATAATGTTTGACTCTTGATGTTTGCTTTCCTAGTTTGTGTCAACCCTGTCTTTAAAGGTTGCATCTTAAGCGTAAGCAATACTAAAAAAAAATACTGATTAGCTTGACACAAAAAAACATGTTTCAAAAAGAACTGTCATTGCTACACTGAAGTATTTCCAGGTATAGAGTTGTAACTGAACTCAGTTTTTTTTTACAGTATTGTGTTGTAAAATGGGGCTGCAGTTTCCCCATTTTAATCTTATGTTTATTTTATTTTCATGTGCCCTAAGGTAGTAACTGATTTTGATTGTCGCTCTGCTACTGTAAATATCTCTGGATACATGCCACATGTCTGCTGATACAGGACTGTAAGACCCTTTACTAAGAATGAAGACCTGATATTCTGTCACTGCCATTGTAATTTAAAGACTTCTTTGAGAAAATGTTTAAGAAATTCGGAATTAGCCGAAGTGTACTTGTAAGAACTATTTTTTTTCAGTTATGCAGTAGTAATTTTGTTAATTGCTCTGGAGGTCGGATGAAAAAATCTTTAATTAAAAAAACTGAATTGGCAGGAGTTTTTTTCTTTTTTTTTTCTTTTTTAAATACATAATAGATTTTATTAAAGAAAAGGTCACACCACATTACACTTATGTAGTAAACAGAACAGAGCTGAATACTTTACCATTACTCAATAGTAGTTGAACGCTTTCATTTTTATGTAGGGAACAGGATCCCTTTCATGAACACTGTAAGGTTAGTGTTCATAAATGTTTACCCAAAGTTGTTTTAACACTGGAGGTCAGACTAGTGTTAGGGTAAGTTTAATTTGCATATAGTAAATATTGTCCGTACCAGATGCTCCATAGGTCTCTAAGAACTGGATCTGCTCTTACACATGGAGGAATGCAAGATTTGATATGTTGCATCTCAAAGATGGATCTCTTGACTGACTGGAAGCCTTTTCTAAAATCAAGTATCTAGCAGTTTTTATTTTTTTGCCAGTAATCCAGGAAAACTGGATCACTAGCAAGTTTCCTGAAGTTCACTGTTCTGAATATGAGCGGGAGATAGGCTGGGGGTGAATGCAGTGATTCTTTTATAGAAAGTTACATTTGATAGATGGTGTTAATTTTAATTTTCTGTTTTCTAGGTTAAATATGTCTTGATTTAAACATTTTGTACACCTTCTAGTTAAAGGGTACAGTTGGACACATTAGTATATAGCATCAGTGGAAGTGAGTGATTATATCTCCTTAACAGGAAAGTTTGAGAGGTTTCTGGATGTGAGAAGATGCAATCTTGAATTGATACCATGCTTCTGGACAAACCTGCCTCCGCTGTTTATTTTGGCACCTTACCACCTTGGGTGTGGCAGTGTTAAGGTCTTCGCTTAGCTAAAGCTGCCCTGGGGCATAGTCTTTCTTTGTTGGCATGCAGCCTGTTCCTCTGTATTCTATATTGTTCCTCTAAATATATAATGCATGTCATTTTTGTCTCGAAAGCCCATCTTCATGTGAACCTAGTGACCGCGAAGTCGGACATTTTCATTAGGGTTCGCTTTCAGTCGGCTGAGGTCTGAGGTGATATCACAACATATGCAAAAAGCTGCTAATGACTAACATTGGGTCTAGGGCAGAATCTTTGTTATTTCGTTCAGTATTCAGTATTATTCCTTCAGGCTGACGCAAGCATTAAGAAATGGGGAACCCTTAAACCATTTCACTGATCTAGGATATGAAAGTGCAAGTCATTGAAAGCAGAGTCTGGTCATCAGCTGATCGGTAATGATGGTGTTATACATAAGTGGAGAATTTGCGGCCTCGTCAACCTTACTGGAGCATGTGTGTTGTCAGGATCGGAATGGGAAAGCTCCTTATTGGCCGAGAAACTGCTCTGTTTTGTTATTTCAGTTTTGCAAAAACCTTCCCAGCATAAGGGCATAGATATGCAGGCCTACATCTTTTGCTTATTTGTCACTTTGTGTCTGTTCCTGGAATTCTTTTTTCGTTATTGCTTCCCTTCTTTATTTACTCTGGGTTTGAACTCTGGTTCTTTATCCATATTAGCTTTTGCTCAATGAGAATTTCACTAAATAAAAATAGTATATCAAAGCTTGGTGTAGTGTGATGTTTTTGCTTCACATGTCCCCTAAAACGTTGCTTCTTATCGGTTTCTGTAAGCTCCCTCCATTCTCTGCTCATTCTCACAGATAGTGGCCAATGCAGGGGAACTGCTCCGATAAATCTTGGGCCTTCAAAACTCTGAACTTGCTTTTCTTCAGTGGTTTAAATTGCCAAATGGAGAAAAGTGTCTGTGGAGAACGTAAACAAGCAAAAACAAGGTCATAAGCTTTGGAAAGTTGAAGGAAAAAAGGTCCTGTGTTTGACCTTCCTGAAGGCCTATATCTCTGTTTAGTAAACACGAAACCGTGTAATTTCTCTCCAGTTCTGAGACAGGTCAACATTCTTTCTGTTTACTTCACCATGAACTGTTCTGCAGCTTAAAACAGCCTCACCGCCACCTATAAGTGCCTTTTTGCCAGTCACTTTTGGTTTTTTGTGTGGATGCAAAAAAGAACTACTTTAGACATTTTATCAACCTAAGTACTTAATTTGAGTAATTCTCTAAATGATTTCTCGTAAGTTTTCAGTATGTTTTTCCTTTGCTGAGGACATTCTCAGATAACCTCACGTTGTCCTCTATCTGCATGACCGCACATGACAGAATGGAAATGCTCCCGGTGTTTTCTGCGAAGGCCACTGTATTCCTAAAACACCAGTGGTTGGTTAGCTAACCCTTTTAGGGCCTATTTTGTGTTTCTCGATTCTGTGAAAAACTGCGTAATTAGAGGAAGTGTCTTCCCAAACATTTTTACCTTCGAGCAAGATGGGTAGCATTAGCTTATCCACTAATCTAAATGTCGGTTAGCTAAACTGTTTAACTATAGCAGCTCAAATAGCATTAGCTATTTCTCTTGGTCCTTCAGCTAAATTTCTGTGTGAAAGACAATTAGATGGACTGAAGTACGTGGCTAAGAGCCCTAGCCTTGTGCGGGACAGCTTTGTAGTGGTTGCACTAGAACAAAATTTTCTGTTATGGTACATATTGGGTTTTCCCATCTCCTGTATAAAACGTGCAACTCCTGATCTTAAATACAATACATCACTGTTGTATCTGGTTTAGAAGTTTGCTCTATCTCACATCATTGCTTGAAATTCTACGTTTTGTATGTCTGTAACCTGAGATTCATTTATGACTGCACACATTGCTATCACGAAAATAAATCCTATTATTTTTAATATCTACATAGCACTTGAACGAGTTGGACCTACCCAGTCCTTAAAATCAATTACATTTTTTGGTAGAACGTCTTTTGATGTCTTCTGTATATCTAATATCTTCTGAGACGTAAATTTGGTACTGTGAATTTCACTCCATTGTGGATCATGGTGACTTTGAGAACTGATTGATTACTAATTTTAACCTCTGTTTTTGCTCCTGCTAAATATATATCAGTTATTGAAAAAGACGTAATTTTGTCAAGTTGTACAGATTTTCCTGAAAGGGTGTGGACCACTTCAAAGTTACATCCATTGTGATATATATATTTCTTTCCGCTCAATTGTTAACATTGTTTACATTGTGCAAATTCCATTTGAACAGCTGGGCTTCTGTGCTCTCGTCTAGTTCAGGTTCTCTGATCTCTGTTTGTAGCTTATGGGGGGGGGGGCATGTCTTGTAATTACTGAAGTACTTTTATGCACAGCAGTTGAAGTTATTCTCTCCTGATTACAATTAAACTGAAACTGCTAAATCTACATGCTGTGCTCTTCCTATTAAATATTCTCAAAAGGGCTGCCTTACATAGTTGTATTTTGACTTCAAAATGTTAAACACAATGCCAGGAAACCCTCTAATTGGCCTCCTATTTGTTTCATATTTATTTGTTTTATTTTTATGAGCGGATTTCACACACTGCTGTGTAGTCTATCTTCTTGCATAATGACCCCCTTTATAGTGACCTCTCTGTAAAACCATTTAAGAGAATTCTCACCCTGTTTGTGTTTTATGTCTGCATGTTCTGTCACGTTAAGGCATGCTTGAAGTGTGATAAAGTTCCACATAAAACGGTGTGCGTTTCACATGTTCGGTGACGTTTTAAATGGTTTGAAGCAAAGTCTGACTAAATTCCTGTGGACAATAAACCCCGTAACCCTGGCTTTGTCTTCAGAGCATGCTCCCTGGGGGGGGTGAACGGGGCCTGTCCTCATAGTACAGGCGTTTGTAAGCTGTAGTTTGCCATATGACCCTGTGCTTATGGCATCAGTCATTTGACCAGTCATTTGGTCACATGACAAATTAGCTCTGGGTGTGTCCACCATGTTTTAAAACGTTCCCTTCTTTCCCCACTTTTGTCTGATTCCTTGTCGGTGAAAACGGCTGTTTGCGCAAACACAAAGTATAAGCCTGCTTGACTGCACTATGATCCCCCCCCCCTCCCCGAAGGGTAACAGGAGGACTTCTGCTCCTACTGAAGCTGCGAAGTTTTTATTTATCATTTTATTTTTGTTTGTTTGCTTATTTTTTTTAAAACTTTAAAGGATGCATAATGTTGTATGCTTAGCCTCAGTATTTAAGCATTAATGAAACTAGATGTTTCACTAATATATAGCGCACCAATCCACTTGTGTGTAGGACAGAAATGTCTAAAGCTTCAGTTGTTCCTTGGATTTGTCCGTGTACCAGTTCACTGTACTTGATTTGTTGTATCCTGTATGTTTTTTCATTGAGTTCTAGATCTGTGCAGGCTTGAACGGCGCTTTTGAAGGTGAGCCTTTTGAAGTAGCCCTGTTGGATCCTCTGTGAACTAGGCTGACTGTGAAGGACCACTGGAAATGGGCTGCATTTATTTTTTCTCGACTGTGTCTCGTTTTATGCACGGCACAGAGAAGCCCCCCCACCCCCAAGAACATGAAAGAGACAGATTCTTCAGACCACAGTGAGGAATTCCTCTCTCTCTGTTCAAGGTCCTCTTGCATAATGACCTCTTTCAAAACAAACATTGGTTTGTTGAAACGCTGCTACCCCCCCGCCCCCCCGCAAATTTAAAGTGCATTTTTGGATTCTTAGTCTGGTACATTTTTAGGTGCGTACAGGCATGATCATCTCTCTGCTGTTTAAATCCCTGCTTGCTCCACGTCCTCTTGGTGAGCTTCTTGTGTCGACCAGGAGGACATGGATGGGTTGCCATTCATCTCTGTGGAGAATCAGGGCCGTATCCACCAGCCCCCTGCCGTTTACTGTGGTGGCTGTGTGAATACTCTCCTGCCTTTCTCTCCTCTCCTGGAGCATAAACAGTTCTCTCTGGGCTGCGATCTCCACACTTCATCTCCTCTGCTGTTGAACTGAAACCTCCCAGATTCAGGCTGTGATGGGTGGGTGGAAATTTGTGGGTTAAGTGGATGCACTTCAGAAGGGTGCAATCTAGAAAGTTTGGTGTGTAGAACAACTTGTTTTATGGGTACAGGAACTCTACTGGAGGGACATGGAGAGAGTACTGGAATAAACTGGATTTTTATGGATGCAGGTTTTTTAAGAGCTATCAGAACATTTAGCCTAAAGGGTGCTTTGGGTCCTGTTAGGGAGATGTTCTCATGTGAAGCCGTTAAACAGTGTATTAAGCTCTAAATGAATAGTGTATACGTTATATCCTGTTACTGATATTTATCATATTAATACTTGACCAAAACACTGTATTAAGAGTTCATCTTGAATGTTTCCCATGATGATATCCAATCTGTTGCTTTTAATGTTTTCTCCTTGTGTCATAAATGGTTAACTTAAGGTTCCTCCACTGAACAGTGTGTGATCTTTAAAATGAAACTTAACCTCAACTATGAAATCAGTATGTAGCATTTGAATCGTAATTATAACCCTTCTGACATTGGCCACGCACAGCTCACTTCTAACAGCTGTATCATAAAGGCGTGTCACTTTGATAAATGGCCACTGTAGGTCCACGCCTGTGCGTGTAAATAACGCAAGTGAATGCATGTGTTTAATCTACCACTGCCGTGACCAAAGGATTTTTCTCATGCATGTCTGGCACTTCCGTGCCAGTCCCCTGAGTACAGGATGTGAATTCCGCTCTGCCGCCCTGGTCGTTAACTTCAAGGTCTCATCTTCTCATTCTTCCAGGAACTGACACTAGCAGAAGGGAGTCGTGTGATAGAGTCCTGGAAGAACCCACCCTCAGATGTCTACATGCAGTATTTTTTCTTCAACGTGACCAACCCTGAAGTCTTCCTGGCTGGGGGCAAAGCAGCGGTGACCCAGATCGGGCCATACACTTACAGGTAGGACAGGTAGAGCATGGCCTCTTAGATGTGTACCTACGGCAGGGTGTGGTGCGTGTGGCAAGGGTGCAATCATCCTCTGTTATGGCTGTTATCAGCAGCTGCTGGTGAAGATTTGTTTAAAAAAAAAAAAAAAGATAAATTAAAATCTGGACATGGTCAAACTGAGGGTTGTCTCTGCTCTAGATAATTCTTGGCACTAGGATTGCATATTGGATCTTAATTTAAGTGTGGAAAATCCATTTGTAGTGTTTATCTGTAGCGATTGTTTGTGGCAGAGTGTATCTTGGTGGAAGGTGAACAATACCACGGAGCAGGGTTGACCCATCATAATTCCGTAAATGCCAACTAAAGCATACAAATCTGATAAGGCTTATAAACAGGATTTTATCGACACGCTTCTTTATCCCAGGGGTTCTCAATTTTTTGCCCAAGATCCAAATTCCATCAACAACACAAAGGACCACTGCCCCAATAACAATTTCTGGGTAAATTTTGCCAACTGGGACATTGCTTGTTGAGGAGTCTGCCATTTCAGTACCCCTGGTTCATACTTTGAAATGTGGGTGAGTGTAATGAGCGGCTGTGACTAAGTCCAGTCAGCCTTAAAGTAAGAGCAGTCCCCTGTCATGCTATGATAGCCCAAGTCCCCAGTGCAGAAGTGAGACAGACCATGGCCCCCGGCAAGTCCAGAAAACATGTGTCTAGTGTGTTGACGTTCTTCTTTTATAAATAAGTATCTCCTGTTTTTAAAATTGGGATTCTGTCTTGTCCTGACTCTCACCATCCTCCAGGGAGTACCGCCCCCGAGAGAATGTGACGTACCTGGAGAATGGAACCAAGCTCTTTGCTTTGAACCCCAAAAGTTTTGTGTTCGTACCGGAGATGTCTTCTGGGGATCCAGAGGTGGATCTTGTGAGGACCATCAACATCCCGTTTGTGGTGAGTGGAGGGGGTTCTTCTTTGGGGAGATATCAGTAGCTCTCTGTGGGATGGGATAGGCTGCTTAGTTAATGGAAAAGTGGCACACAAAGCACATAGAAAATGACAATGACTCACCCCCCCCCCCCCCCCCCCCCCTCCCCATCAGGCGACAGTAAACGAAATGAAGAACTATAACTTCATGGTCCGCACCATTATGTCCATCTGGATTAAAAGCATGGGCGTGGAACTCTTCATCACACGCACAGTCCATGAGATGTTGTGGGGCTTCAAAGACCCGCTGATGACCAAACTCCATAGCCTGAAGCCAGAAGTGGATGAGTACTTTGGCCTCATGTACAAGGTGAGCCCTGCTCGAGACCCTGAAGCCATGCCCAGAGTTCAGGGACCGCTAATAATTGCCCTTGCACCAGTGCCTGGTTCGTTTGCATTTTCAGGTGATCGAGCATCTGCAGATTAGGTCAACTGTGAGTGGTTGGCGGGGTTCTCTGTATTTACTCAGTGAGGCTTATGGAGAAGAAGCTCAGCCAGCAGATGTAGCAGTAGTATTGTCAAAACGAGTAAAACCTGCAGCGGCACCCCCTACCCAAACTGTGTAAGCAGCTTCCTGAATGTACGATTTAGTTGTCCCTGATTGCAGAACACTGAGAACAGATTAATGGGTGAAAGGACAGCCAAAATAAACAGGATAGAGTGGATGGAACAAACGCTATCTGAGGACAAAAAGGTTACCCTACAGTGTCAAGTTGTCACGGCCAGTTGTCCTTTTTAGTGGCCTTGCATTTCAGACGTGCAGATCTCTTATCCTACATTCTGTGCCCATTTTGCCAGATGCTACTGCTTGGTAAATTTTGATTTTATAATTTTTTTTTTTTTATGTAAAGAAGGTAACCCTCCTGTGAGTCTTGGTCACGCCATCTACGCTTTGTAGGATATTGATGGGAAACCATCTGAGCCTGTCAGCAGTTGTCATGTGACATGCATGTGATGCAAAACCACAGGCCTGGGTTTATATAGGGACACTACTCAGGGCTTCCCATGAACTGCTCACTGCCAGTGACAAGGCACTAAGTTTCAGTGGAGTCTCTAGGGCTGCAGAAGACACTTGTGAACCTTCTTCGTTCCTGTCAACGAACTCTCTTCCTTATCTCAGATATGCAGGCTCTGTCCAGGTGGCTACCTGGTGGTTTCTCTATTGAGTGGTTAAATCATGTTAATGTGATGGGACAAGTGATTCTTAGCACAAATATATACGTGCAAGGGAATCTTTAGAAGAGATGTAGGTCAGTTTGTGAAATTTGGCGTCTCATTGCATTTGTTAAAATAATTTTGTTAGTGTTTTTTTTTTTTTTTCTTCAGTGGCTTAAATGACTGTTAGCTACTTATGAGTGAAATCTTTGACAGATCAGTGCCTTTCTTTTCATAGAAAAATGGAACCCATGAAGGAGAGTTTGTGTTTCTGACGGGTGAGCAGAACTACTTGGACTACGGCAAAATCGACACATGGAATGGACTCAGGTAGGATGGTGATACATTGTATGTGTGTGTATGGTGGTTGTTTTGAGATCCGGTGCATCTGACCTTCACCTGACATTTTTCTGCAGTTTATTGCTCTTGTAGACCCTGCTCACTTTGTCCACCATGGCCTTGTGCAAAAAACTTTACACCCCTTTGTGCGTCTGAGGGGAAGCAGAGGAAATGTGACTGGCAAACTGGCAGATTCACTGCAAGCATCTGGGTTTTTTTTGTTGTTGTTTTGTCATCTCCCTTAAGTAACCGGGCATATGCTTTGTGTGACTGACCTTGGATTGGGTCCAGTCTTGGGACTCTGCCGTGTTTTTCGGACTCTGAGCTTGCCATGCCTTTTGTCAAACATTGGGAAATTGACCGATTTGTGAAAAGGTTTCAAAGGTTTTTCTTTCCAGTCGTTAGTGTTGCCCCTAACCTTTTACCTAGTTCCCCCCCTTCTGTTAATAGTAAATTGTAATATATTTAAATTCATATAAATGCCATGAATTGTTGGGCAATTGGCAGTCTTTCACTGTTAGTGTCGTGTGTCAATGCTTCTGAATAAACTGCGTGTCGTTCTTTAAATGTTGTCTTCGATGTTTTTTTCCATGCAGAAAGATGACATGGTGGTCATCTAACCAGAGTAACATGATCAATGGTACCGATGGTAGTGCATTCCACCCACTCCTTTCCAAGAACGAGCTGCTGTACATCTTTGCTGCTGACCTCTGTCGGTAGGTCAACCATTTACTTGTTGCAGGTAGCCCCCCTGCCCCATGCCACTTAAAGGTCACTTGAAACTGTTTAGTACTGATTTTCTAAGCAGCTACGACACAAACAATCACAATGTTCTAAACTCAGTCTACGTCAATGGATGGGTGTGTGAATTACCATGATAATTAGGCTGAGAAGGGTAAACATGAAGGGTTGGTACACACATATTTCCTTTCCACCTCAAATCATAAATTGAAGGAAAAAGGAGCAATTACTTTTTATTGTAACTAATATAGATCAGTGGCACAGGGTCGGTTTTGTCTCTTGGCTGCACTTTTAGTTTTCCGGTCCTGTTGTCCAACTTGGTCTTGTGGTGTTTCCTGAACGGTTCCACAATGGCAGGAATTTCTTTAGAGACGTATATCTGTTACTTAAAAATTGTCCTGGAATATCCAAATAATAGTCTTTGTTTCCCTAGTTATGCACTAACAAAACACAACCATGCACTGTCCTTGTTCTTAGGATTTTGACACTTGAGATCTCTTCCCTTCTCGCACTGCCCCAAGTTCATAGTGTAATCCAGGAAATTCCTCTGGTTTCCATTGGCAATCCATGCTTCCGTAGGTCAGCATGTAGCCTTGCGTGTCCCTGTATCTAATTGCTTGACTGATTTTTCTTAAGTAAGACGCTTAACCTGAACTTATGTAAACAAGTGAAGCACTCTATTTAAGGGTACTACAGCAGACCGCCCACCCCGAGAGTTTAACCAGCAGTTTGCTCTCATAAACTTTCACAGCCAATATTTGTTTCCACTTCATTAGACCAGAATGTTCATCGCGTTCAGATCAAGCTCACGTCCATGTTGTTAAGTAATCTCCTGGAGACCCACCAAGTGATACTCAGGGTAAAAATAAGAGGTCCATGGTTTTGAGGAAACCTAGGAAACTGGCTTAAGCAGCAGATGTCAGTTTTCCAGGAGACATGCCGTTGTACATCTTGGATGAGACCCTTGGCTTTAGTTGCTCTGGTGAAAATGAAAGCTCTTTGCATGTGTTGTACTTGGAGACTGATCTATGCTGGTGCATCTTGCGTCTAGGTCCATCCACCTGGGCTATGTGGAGGATGTGGTTGTTGAGGGCATCTCGGCCTACCGCTTCGCTCCTCCGATGGACGTGCTGGCCAGTCCCCAGGACAACCCCGCCAACGCTGGCTTCTGCGTACCTGCAAACGACTGTCTGAGCAGGGGGGTGCTGAAAGTCAGCGTGTGCCGAGAAGGTAGGCCCCACCGCCCACCACCACCGACCTCAGCCAGCAGCCATGTGTGTGCTGTATACAGCAGGAACCTATTGTCCTGTAGGTTTGAGCTGGCTGAGGGGACTGGTATTCAGCTAGCCTACTGGTGCCAAAACCTTTGCTGGTGTATCTGCTGGCACTGCGTTCGGCAACCAGGCATCGCGTACAGCAAGGCCTAGGTCACCATCAAATCCTTGTAATGTCAACACTTACCCTCATATCATTAATCATGTAATCTGACCACAGATGGGGTTATGAATTTTGTTTAGTGCTATGATTTGCTTTGGTTCCTTGTAGCAAAACGGCACAGTTCCAGTTTCCTTTTTTACTGTGAACATGGGATACGTTCTTAGATGTTTCTCTTAGACTTTGGTGCTTTTGAAAGTAGGACTTCATCTGCTGGTTTGATCGGCAGTGGAAGCAGATGCTCTGGGGCAGCCCCTAGTGAGGAGTGATGAAGACCCAGCTACTTGCAAGCCTCAGCACGCTGGCTTGTGACTGGATTAACAGGATGATGTAATACTTCCTGTTGGGTTTGGTTTGAGTCTAACCCCCCTCCCCCCCCATCTTTAGGTGCTCCTATCGTCGTCTCGTTCCCGCACTTCTACCAGGCTGACCAGAAGTACATTGACGCCATTGAAGGCATGAGGCCTTCAAAGGAGGCTCATGAGACCTACTTGGACCTGAACCCGGTATGAGCTAAATCAGGAGAGAAATGGTTTCTGTTTTAAGGCAGAACGTGAGCCGTATGATGGAGGCTTTGGTGTGTCGGTAATTTGCATTACTTTTGGATATGTCCTTCCGACTGCGTATTTGCTACTTCACTCCAGGGCAGCACATGGAAAGAAACCTAAATAGGAATTTTAAAACAATCTCGCTATCTTGCGCCACCTAGTGTGGTTTTCTAGAATTTGTCTTTTTTTTTCCCCTGAAGTAGTTTTATTTATCAATTAAGATGCTAGTGGTTTTCCCATAGGCCTAACATAGCGGCCTCGCTAACTGCTCAGTGCTGTTTTGCTACTCTATTCAATGAGTCGAACATCAGGATCTTGGCCACCCCCAATCACAAAGCCTTTCTGCATTGTGGAGAAAATGCCCCACTCAAAATGGCGATAAATGTTTCTTACCTACATAAATTTCTGTGCTCTTTCTGAATTGTGCCAAGTTATTTGTGTTGCCATATGAAACATGGAACGTGGGCAATGAAGGCACTCCCTCTCTCTCCTAGACCACCGGTATACCTGTTCGTGCCTGTAAGAGAGCACAGCTAAATGTCTTGCTGAACAGAGTCAGTGGCTTTCCGTAAGTACCTCGCTCTTTCCAGATCTACATCAGTGTCGCACTGCTCTCTCTTGTTTAAGCTTCTGTACCAGTGTTCTTCCTTGTGCGCCTATAGCATTGGTCTTTCTTTGGCTTTCAGGACAACCAGAAACCTGACTCAGACCATTTTCCCCATCATGTTTGTTAATGAGGTAAGGAACTACAAATGAAATTTTCCCAGGATCTCGTTAAGTGTTTGTAGTCTAGTGATACAAGCAGCAAACCTCATAATGGCTTAAGGCCTAAAACTGTCAGTCCTGTAATTTAATTTCCTAATTTGAACGTGATTTTTTTTACATCAACATACGGTCTTATGGACACATTTCACAGAAATAACAATGAATGTTGAAAAATTTATGCAAAAACATGTTCTGAAAGTCTGCATAAACTTCAGTCTTCCTATCGTATCTTTTAATATAAGACCCAAGAATAGGATATTTTTTTTGGTTGTGAGGTGTTTGCGTTTTGTTTTTCAGTTTGAGTTCTCACATATTTAACAATCTGTCATCTTCATTCGATTTGTTTGCCAGTCGTTTGTGATCGACCCAAACTCAGCAGGCCAGATGAGGACCCTTCTGACGGTGGTGACCGTCGTCTCCAACTTCCCGCTCTTTATCGTGGGATTGGGTGCTATCCTCCTGGTAGTCTTCGTCATCCTCATCTGCAGGTCCCGTCAGAAGAGGGTGAGCCCCAGATCTAAGATTGTTTTTGAGGACTACCTGGACTAGATCTCAACACACCAGGCTGAAAGTTGGCTAAAAGAGCATATGGGTTGTGTATTGATTCTGAATTGGGTCAGGCTGCTTGGCATCTCTGCAGTGCAAAGTGAGCTGAGAGGAGCAGTTGAGGGGGCCAGGATATTGGCACCATGCATGTTTCCTGGCATGTATGGGCTGTGGAGAGCATGGTGATCGTCACACACGATGTGTCGTGTTGGGGGTTTCAGGCTCAAGCTGCAATGACACTTTCTTAAAAACAGGGCAGTGGGTGTTGCAGGGTTAAGGGTGTGAACTTGACTCAAAGGTTTCTGCTTCATGTTCCAGGAGATGCCCTACAGTAGTACTCTTGATTACTTAACCTGAATTTCTCCAGCAGAATGCCAAGATCTAGATAAGATTGGTTTAAAGTCCATTTAGATAAGTATTAGACAGGTAGCTAATTTTTAAATGGTCTATTTAAATTGTGATTTGTGAGGCCCACCGTGTCGGGGGCACAAGTGGGGAAATTATCCCAGACTGTAGGAGGGGTCAAATGTCATGGGGATCTGGTTGAAGTATTTTGTCCCAAGCCCAGGAATTATGTGCAGCAGCCTGCCTGGGTGACTGCCTAGCTAGTCTGAACACATTGCACAGTGAAATGCTATTTCAGCAGCATACTGTAAATATTGGGTAGCTCAGCACAACAGCACATGACTCATAATGTACATGTTAACTGATATTCAGTTCATTGACATTCAATGTTCCTTCTGACATGATTTTGAAACCCACTATTTTCTAAACTAACATACTTAACCTTCATTCATAGTGTTGTATTCAAATTCAGTCTTGGTCCCAAGACCACTTTGTCCACTTAATCAGTCTTTTTCGGAATTGAAAACGTCTATTCTCTGTCTTGAATCCATCTTGGACTAAAGCGTCTATGGTTCGGGCTTGTAGTAGTAATATTGTTTTGTTTATGTTTCTATTTTCTCCCACTCCTTGAAATAACGATGCACGCTGAAAACAATAATACAATTAATAAATTAACGTAAATCTCACGGGTTGTCATGTGCCCAAACTCACAAAATGATTTTGCACTGTATATGGGCCTGAAAAGCAGGTATCGTCATCACCACCTCCTACACATAACATTATCAGCTTTACATTTGTCTGGTTTCACTAGTAGAAAAAATACCACAAATTATTATTATTATTATTTTTTTTCCTATCCTGATTTGGTTTTGAAATGGCTTATAAAATTGAAACGAAGCAAAAGGTTCCTTACCCTGGTGGAAATAGGTTTAAATTTTTTTTCAAACATTTAAGGCCATTAAGCAATTCGTGCAAAAATCTGCTGCAAGGACAAGGTGTGTACGGATGTAAACCACATGGCACCCTAATTACAGTGTGTGCATTTCAAATAAATAGCTAGTAGAAATCCCACTAGTTTTTATTTATAGTAGAAATCTTTAACACACCTTTCACCCAGATGAGCGGCTCACATGAAAATTTGATCAGGTTAGCAGCAATATAGTGTTGGGGGTTTATGATAGAAATAGTCATGTTTGACATTAAAGGATTGTCTTCCTTCTGTCCTTTTTATTAAAATGTATCTCATGACAATATTTGCGACCAAGCTTTCATAATACAGTATTACTTTTAAATATTACCAGTGGTGGTGATCATAAATAAGCATAAAATGAAACCATGGCCCAGAATATGAATTTTCCCTGTTCTCGCATTGTCCCTGTTCTCGCCTTCCCTCACAGCCTTGTTCTTCATGCAGACTTGATATAGGTGGCAACTATTCGTCTGTCTTCAGGAGAGGGGTGTTATCAGTTAGAATAAGTTGGTGCTTAAGCTTTGGTCAGGGCCATGGACTTGTTCTCTCAGCCAGTATGCACAACTAACCTCCTTATTTTCTGTGCATTACAATTAATCCTTTTTTTTGTTCCCTCTTTTTGTTCAGAACGCAGTGAAACGTATTGAGTTTTCAGAGGCTTTTCGTTCTTTTCCTGTAAGTCTTTATTTCTTTGAAAGTTTCTTTTTTTACTCGTCATTCATTTGCCCTCATTTCTAATTGACCATTTTCATATTTAACTGAATCACCAAGTTTAATCGGTTTCAGCTTTTTTCCATTTTAACTTAATCCTCTTATATTCTATATATTTATTGAAGTTGAGTTATTATGATTATTTACTATTATTATTATTATTATTATTATTATTATTATTATTATTATTGTTATTACTGTAGTAATTATTATGGACAATTTTTGTTTTGGGATGTTATCATTTTTGTGGTATGCTTCCGGACTGTTCACGTCTAACTAGGTGCTCTTCCTGCAGAATGCGAAGGAGGACACGGCTTACACTCAAGTCAGCTCAAAGCCCGAAGAGCAGCGGGACGGCCACGTCACCGTCGCCAGCCAGTCTCTGCGCAATGGCTCCTACATTTCCATGTCGCAAGTGGAGACACCCGAGTGCTGATGGAGATGGAGTCTGGGGGTGGGGCTGGGGGGTGGGATGTGGGTTTTGTATCATTTCAAGAGGGTGTGGTTTGGGGATGAGGGTGGGGCGGTGGGGGAAGCTCCCATAAATGCTGTCAGTCGCGATGCTGCCCAGTCGTGTGACGTCACTGACCGTTGGTCCCTTGTGCCAGGCTGTGCATGGCCACTACCTGCTGTTTGGCTAACAGCACTCTGTGATCGATGATGCCTTAGACTGAGACACCTCCCCTCCTCTACACACACGCATACAAACACACACACGTGCGCGCGCACGCGCACACACACACACGCACGTACCTCCTCCCCGCATCACAGACGGCGGCAAGTCGCTCTGATCCCACATCAGCCGGCGACGTCGACACCTGCACCGGACTGGATTTTCAGAGGCCTGGAGCTAAAGCACCATCTCCACATGGCGGCAGCCCAGTGAACAGAAGCTCCCATCTCACCGGAAGCTCCTCTGATGAAGCTGTGTGGACGTCTTTTCGCTACTTAAAATCCCTTAAATTGTCTCTCGCACTATGCCTGTTAAGAGGGAGCTTTTCCCACCTGAATTCACAAGCTTGTATAAAGCTTTATGGCAAACCTATGTCAAATTGCGACTCTTGGCTGATGATGACGGCGATTAAAACGTAGCATCGTTGCTGCCATGCACATGCTGTGTGGTTGTGTGGCGCGCCGGTGGCCTCTAGCGGCTAGCGTGGGTACTGCACAGTCCAGTCTCGCAGCTGCATGACTGAATCAGACGTGATTTCTGACCTGAATAGAAGCAGGCATGAAGCTAGAGACTCCTTTTTTTGATCTTGGTTCTTCTGCCACGGTGATAAAAGTGAAATTTTAATCTTAAGATCTATTGTTTCTGTAAATGGAATTGGTGCCCAAACATTGTTTAAAAGTTACTGAACTTGTCTGTTGTTCTCATTGTCAGAGCACAAAAGGGTCAGTGCATTTATTGGGTTCTACATTTATTTGGGCGCCACATTTCAGGGATGCGATTCCAAGTAGATAAATGCATTGGATTTGTTTTTGCGTCACTAATTTTCATACCTACTTTTGCTGCTAGTCTCTTCACCCTCTGGACAGACTGCTTTTCGGTGCAGTCTAGTCAGTATGTATGCTTAGCAGGAACCCCCTTTGATTTACTCTTGATCTATAGTCTGGGTCTCTCCTATATCCATGATATTAATTTGCTTGGGGGGACAAACAAGCACAAAACTAACAGGGAAAGATGCTTGCTGCTGTTTAGGAAATGGAGGCCATTAATGAAGCCAGTTGTGATAAAGCACCGTTTTTTTTTATGTTGTGAGGGTGCTCTGGGGTAGGAGAGAACTGGTGCTGTGACGTTCTTCCTTACTCTAAGGAGTTTCAGCTGATGTGGGGAAGCCTGATTGGCCAGCAGCCTTCACGTAAAGTCACTAAACCCTGAGCCCAGCCAGCTGTGGCCTTGCCTAGTAACATAACTGGTTATTTGGCACTATATCCTCAGTGACTTGAATTGGTGGAGTGGGTGGAAGAACACCCTGGCCCAAAGGTAACGGAGAGCCAGTTCTGAGCCACCAGCCCATTTTGGGCTGACTTCTCCCCTGATCCCTGAGCTTTTGCTTCTGATCCCCCAGCCTTCTCCCTTGGCTTGACCAAAGAGGACTCAGAGGCGGGGCTTAGCTTTTGTTTACGCTACAGTCCAAGGATCCGCCTTAGGCTTGGTGTGCAGATGCGCCCTCTAGTGTTTACATCAGTTTATCACAAATGGCTTCCACTGCTAAAAGAATGGGTTATAGGTCAAGAACTAGTTAGTGTTTTTTTTTTGTATAAGGCATATGAAGTCTGTATTGCTTTTACTACACAAAATATCTGGTTAAAGCATATATTGCCATAATATGTACTAAAACACTCAGTATTACGAAGCAATTTAAGCAATACAAAATGTAAAACATTTTATAATGATGTTTTGTAATTTGAGCAGATTATTATTTTTATTTGTGTTTTTTTTTTTTTTTTTTTTTTTTTTTTTTTTTTTTAATTCTTTATTTCTCAGTGTAAATGTATTCTGTGCCTGGGACTTGCACAGGGCTGAAATACCTGGTCTCCAATCAGATTCAGCATGCCAGGGTACACCACAATCAGAGTAACCTTTCTGTGCAGACAGACACTGCACAGTGCTTCTTCTTTTGTAATGCCATGGTGATCTACATCAGATACTTAAGGGAGCAGACAACTATTTTAAGTATTGTTTGTCACACAACCCGAATTGTAAAAGACCCTTATCTGTTCTCTGATTGTGGGCTCTTGGTGCCAGAGAGTGTCATCTTTGGGAAGCCATTAAAACCAACTGGAAAGGAGGAGTCCTGGCCATTGGAATTGGTCTGTTTGAGTGTAAATAAAATATTCAGGTGGTGCACCCAGGTTGTTTGGGAACAAACAGAGAATGAAGCTCTTTCTTGGGCGGAACTTTAGTGCCAAAACCAAGCACCCATGTACATCAGTCGGCTGTATGCATATTACAGTAGGCCACTAACATGTCACTTTGTCTTACTGCATGTCAGCCTTCTGGTCGGATAAGAAATGTCAACATCAATAGCATTTTGTTTCCTTTGAGAAATGTCTACTGCTGCTGAATTGACAATCTCTTCATGTCATTGGGTGCAAAATCCTCGTTTTCCCTTTTTGTTTTTGATATTTACACTGCACAAATGTTTCTATAATGCCTTTGTAAGCATTTTTAGTGTATTTACATGAAATAAAAGCAAATGTTTAAGTTGATAACATCTGAGATTTGGTTCATTTTGTTTGTTACAATGTGGTGGTGTTCATATACGAGGTGTTTAAGACGTATAATACCTTGTGTATGTGCCAGACTTGTATTCCTATATCAGTATATACATGTAGAAGACTGCCAGTATAATGCAATATAGCGTAAATCTTTTATTGCAATTTTGAATATTTGGGGAATCTGTATGTGCAGGTACTTAGCTGTCATTTTAAGTCTCCTTTAATAGTTTAAATCTTGAATAGTGTTAGTGTTAGTTACCTAAAGGGTTATACCACGCATACACCTGCATACACATTGCCTGTCTCCAGCCTGATTTACCTTTGCATTGCCATTGATTCATCAGCAGAGGGCTGTAACTGTCCATTTAAAAATCATTCCACCTTCACAAGAATGGCAAATCCAAATTCTTGCTTTTCCCTGTTAAGGGCTCACATCCCATTTCCAGCATATCTTACCTTACCTTACCTTATTATGTCAAGTAGCCCCAATCAGGGACAATCATAAAATACATAGTCACATTTTAGTTTAGAGAATTGTTTAGATTATGATATTTTATGTAATCAACTTGTATAGCTTTAGTCAGATTTATACTAAAATATGTTTAGCATTGAGAACAAAGCAGATGGTTTTTGGAATATAAGTTTTACATATTCAACTTGTTATTCCTCTTTAAAAACATTGCACTGCCAAACCGTGATGATTAAAATGGATCTTGGTAAATCACTTTATTTACAAAAGCAATTAAATGTATTAGTTTAGTCTGCTGTGTTATCCAGAGTGAGATACAGTTAAGTACAATTGTGAATGATTTAGGAAGGTAATAGACTTCTATTACTCATGCAAGTCCTTTATCGTAATTTGACATAAACACTGTATTATGTAATCTGGAACATAAGCATGCTGAGAGGTCTTCAAGGGTAAGGATATAAAACCACTGTTTTACTAATGCATAATAAAGACAGTAATTAAACCCTTACAACCAGCAAGTACATAAATCAGAAATGTACTATTTCAGTATAAGTTGTAATAATTTCAACCATTACGGAGTGTAAGCTCTATCAAACAGATCATTATAGCTTGTAAATGGGTAACCTGACTGGATGATATTAAGGAGTAATATTCAGTCACCCTGTGAAATGGGAGTTTGACTCAATTGGCTTTGCTTCTCTGGTCATCTAAGTTTAAGTTCCCACATTAGCGGTCTCTAACCACACAGGACACCATTTATCTAATCCACCACAGCGGTTCTGAGTCTTCCTAACATTTCCAGGTGTGTGAAAAGCTGATGGTGTGTTTTCTTTGGCTGTTGTAAGTTAAAGGTGCATTATTACACAACATCTCTGGACTCTGAAATGGCCTTCATAGCTGTTCATTCAAAACACTCTGTAGAGTTCACTCTGGTTATGCAATATATTTAATTATATTTACTATATAACTATATTTATCACAGTGTATCTACTATATACCTATTTGAATGCCATGTTTTAACTTTTATTTTTTTCAATGCATTCTTGATGCATGTTGACAAATGACTAGGTCAAAATAAGGACCAAATCAGACAGACTAAGCGGCCCAGTTTTCAATGGCTCCTTTTGGTCTAAAGAAAGGTCATGATGGGGTGACTAGTTTTAGTCCAAAAAATAACGTCCCATGCACGTCTGGTGCTGGGTGGGATATAGCAACTGTACAGCAGCCAGCTCTGTTTTTCTATATGGTTATATAGACGTGTGTAACCCTCTGCATTTCCAGACTGAGTAGTGCTGCCTTTGAGACGCAGTGCCTGAGCATTCTGGGAGTTTATTGGTCCTCAGCACCTCTTAGCTGTGATGTCTGCAGCCTATAAAGCAATTACTGCACGGTAGCTTGGCTGCAGGCCACAGATGTTACCTGATGTGACCAACAGGAATGAGAACAAAGTGCTGGAGAGAGAGAACATTAATTCGCCAAAATGTTGACCCAGTAAGCATGCTCATTTGGGCCCTGCATGAGCAGGTATGGGTTTACTGTGGGCCATTGTGGGCAGGGCAAACCCAGATTAATACCACGTGCGATTCCACAGCACTTTTGGGGTCCCCCACAGTTGGGCTTGTCCACAGAAAACCCACACAGGCTAACTCACACTAACTAACTAACTAATATGCTACTCAGTTCAGCTTTGTGCAGCCACACGGTATACTACGGATTCTTCTTGTCAGCCTTCTTCCTTGATGAACGGAATTCTTGCAACATAAAGCACCATGCGCGCCTCTGTGTCTAGATATGGCATCGATTAATCAGATGTTTTTATCCAAAACGATTTATAACAAGGTGATGGAAACCCATCCTCCCTTGTGTCGGATGTCATCGGTCATGTGATATTGCATAATAAAAGCAGGCTGGACTCCGAGCTTCGAGTCGCTGGGCATCAGTAGTTCTTCGCATCAAAACGGGAAGAGTCGGACTGAATCGATCTAGGGTGCCGAAATTGCCATTTCTGGTATTCATTACTAACTTGTAAGGAAACTATGAAGTGCTCTCTCGCTTTAATCCCCTTAACGCTGGCTGCGTGGTGTTATGCGGACTTTGCGCCACCGATCGTCAATATCAGTTTGGACGAGCCACCGAAAGAAAGATGGGCACCGTTGATGAAAGTGATTGACGTGAGATACTACAGAAAAATCGCGCCTCTGATTATTGAGTAAGTACACAAAGTCCATCAGAAAAACTTAGCGAAACCAAATCTGATTATACTGCGTGTAAAAGTCACTTGATGTCACTTTAGCTTTTGTGTATTCTGCTCACATGACTACTTTACATTCTTCATGTTTATCCAGTTTTACCTGTTATAAACAAAGACACAATAACATTTAAGAGGCCCCTGGTCTATTTGAGTTGTCAGAGGGCCCCCTACTATTTTGTACCGATGGTGTAACTGTGGACCGGGGGGTGGGGGGGTCTCAACTTGGGGGTCACTGACGATAATAATTTGCCATAGAGGAGAAAGGGGGATGATGCTGAAGTTGGCTCCTATTCGCAGCTCCTTTTCCAGTTCATCTCAAATGCTTCGTAGCCAGATGCAATGACGCGATTGCGCCTGTAGGGGGAGTCATTTACCGAGACTGACTTTCAGAATTTCATTTGGCTTTCGATTCCTAGTAACATCATCTGATGATTATCCAGACAGGGGCCCCGGAAATTAAAGAGTTTGGGGAACTCAGTATTCGCTTCAGTGTAATTTCGGAAAGTAATTTCCTTTGTAAATAGACTGGTTCAAAGTTGTTTTCATCTAACAGGGAACATTACTCCTATGCACATTGCGTGACATTTTTTGACAAATTACAGGCAGGAACTAAAGGGATTTTCACCTTCAAATCATGCTGGGAACATAGCTCACATATATATTGGTTGTCATCATTCGATAATTTCCAGACAGGAGTTTAAAGGGTTAAATGCTTTGAGCCAGTAAAAACTTACTCCATGATGACAGTTTAACAACAAGTGATATCTGTTGTTACCTGCCTGGCTCAATGTATTCCTCACCTTCAAATACACCTGGAAATCTAGCTCACATACACAATGATAGACATTACTTGGCATGATTTAGCAAATTTCAGTCAGCACATGAAGGGCTTAGACACTGAGCCACTGAAAACAGTTGAATATGAAAGACTATGATGCCTGAAACTCATATCAATTGTTACCTGCCTGGCTCAATGTATCTTTCATGTTCAAATACACCTGGGAACTTTGCTCACATACAGATTGATTATTGACACATTGACATTATTTGACATGACTGAACAAACTTGCAACCAGCACCAGGAGTTGTGCGTTTTTAATTGAAAGTGTATTAATCTGAACGAAGTTGTATCTGTCCAACCCAATATCTCACCCCATAAATGTTTAATTTGGAATAATTACCATATTATATTCAAAAATAGATCCCTGTCCCAGTCCCTGTGGTGGACTGGCGGCCTGCCTAGGGTGTACCCTGCCTCTCGCCCGATGATGCTGGGATTGGCTTCAGCTTCCCTGTGACCCAGATGGATAAAGCGGTATAGATAATGGATGGATGGATGGATCCCTGTCCTATAAAACATGACACAATGATAAAATTCAAGTATACCAGTTAATTAATGGTGATGGGCTGCTAATGAATTACAATGAGTTTCTTCTTTAAATAGTTATATACCAATATGTGGTATATGTGCGCATCCATGTAATAGTGTGCTTGCAGCGGGATCACGTGCAACAAATTCTGTTTTCTGATTGGTTGGTAGGTGGGCATTAACTCTATTTAACTCGGTGCAGCTATGAACTCCGCGTAAAACTCCGCAATGTATGTATGGTCGTTACGTGAAGCATTAGTGATGGGTCGTTCTTGAACGATTCGTTCATTTTGAACAAATCTTTAATGTGACTCGGGAAGAACGAGTCGTCTCGTGGGAGTGATTCGTTCAGTCGCGGATGCGCATTTGCGTAACTTCCTATAGTTTCTGTATTGGAATTATTGATTCACCTGTTTCCAGTCTTCGGGGTTTTTCGAGTCGTTCGTTCATCACGTGACAACCCCATAAGCTTAACCTATGCAGTCTGAGCCGGAAACAGAATTGATTAGTTCATATCTCGAGTCTTTCGAGTCGTTCGTTCTTTTGTCACGTGACCACTTACCGGCTCAGTACCTCAGTCAAATACTAACGTAAAATTCCATTTGTTGTGTGTTGGATCATATTTAGAAATTATCATAAAATTATCAAAAATATCTAAAACGCATTTTCTTCTAAATAAAAAAGGTCTGTCAATTTCTGTCACTATGATTTTTTTACTGTTTCTTGAGGATCTGTGGTGTGTTATTTTATAAATAAATAATCCTGTTACAAATAAATTATTGATTAATTTGTTCTTTCATTGTCTTTGTCGATCAGTAAACAAACACTAGGCTATATAATAAAATAATCCAAGCCTACAATTACAAAGTACTTATAGTTAATAATCGTACACTATTCTATAGCAGTGTTCATTTTTACTCAAATATTTGTATAAAAAGATTGGTCAAAAAGGACATAATTACAAAGTAAAAGCAAATAATATTTTGAATTTGAATGATTAAAGTTAGTTTAAAATATTAAGGTTATGATAACTTAAACTAATTAATAATAATAATAATAATAATAATAAACTATGCACCCGTTTGTAAGGAAGGTTGTAAATTAGTAACTAATTTCTCTTTAGTAACTAATTTCTCTTTCTGAATGGCTCTTTCTGCCTAATTTTAATTTCATTACACTCTTCTGGGTTGTATTTACAGGATTAGTAAACATCTAACCCATTTTGGAATTTTCTATTCCAAGATCGCCCCTCACTAACATCCCCCTAAACGCTGCACCGCTTCAATATAATAACCTCCAATCAATTTTGGATCACGGCTGGTTGTGTATGCATTAAGCCAGATCATCTTTCTGGAGAATCCGTCAATGCATCCATTAATGCACACACCAAATTTTTTAAGTTTGTCATAGGAATCTACATGCCAGATGAAATTGGGCCCCTTGGAGAAGTAGTTGCGTCTCCTTTGGGCATCGTCTCGTTTAAACTCCTGCTGGATCAAGCTCTTTTAAAATCAAACGCATATCCTCCTTTCTCACATTTAGTCCATTTATTCTGCATTTTGCGTACATCTATCGATAACCATGAAGCTGCCCAAAGTGCAAAAGCTGCTCAAGAATGAAGTTAATGACATCACCCAAATCGGAGTAGTTTTTCCGTCGGAATAATCCCTTTTCACATAAAATCCTCTTAATCATGCCTAGATCCGAGAACAAACTAAATGTGCTTATATTGCAGACCAAGATCAAAGTAAAATTTGATTAAACGCTCCATGTTTTCCTATCAATTGTGTTCCTTACTGACTGATTACTCATATTTCCGGTTCAAAGTCACAACAGTTTTGAGTTATAACTGCCGTTTTTTTTTCTCCTCCTTTGTCGCCTTAGGAGCTCCGTAAAATATAAACCTATTGAACAAACACAAAAAATAAATATAATTCCTATCGAAACAGAGACGGTCTGCGGAGTATTTGTGCTTCTGGGCACTCCAATCCAATTGCATTTCTAAAAATGGAAAAGGAAACATTAGTTAATCATATACTATTATGATTGTTTTACAATGTGAATTTTTGATTTGTTACATTAAAGTGTACTTAGTTTAATGTTCCACTGCAAAAAATGATGGAAGTATTATTTATATTTGTTGTTGATTGTAATATTAAAGTAATTAATACCTAGACGAATCGTACCCCGTTTGTCAGTTACCTCACAAAATACACAAAGAACGTAGTTTTAAGTATTGTTGCTTTTTCTAACAAACATCTAAATTAACTACTGAAGCTGAAAGCCAAAAGCCTGGACTTAAGAAGACAGAATATATTCGAGGCAATTTGGAGTTCATTCTGAAAAAAGCCGCTCATCCAGCCTTCCTTACCTCTCTCATTACGGTACGATATTTCTCTGGAGTGCCAGCGCTCATCACTGTTGTGTAAATCGTTCCCCTAGAAAACAATTTGTTCACAGCCACAGACAATACAGAGCGACACGCTGCACTATTCTCTGTGACTTTCAGGCAACGTTTCAAAGCTGCACTGTCGCAACAAATGACAGACTGCGCTGCTCTCCATAGTACAGTGGTACCTCGGTTCTCGAAATCACTAGAACTCGAATTTCTTGAAAGTCGAACAAACCAGTTTGACCTAGAACTCGATCTGAATATCAGAAGTCGAACGGTGAACGCCGACCTAATATAAATTGTATGCGCCAGGAAATGAGTCATACTACAATGCAATTCTTACTTGAATGCCTTCTTCACAGACTGGACGATTAACCAAATAAAGC